CAGAAAGAGTGAACTTGTCTTGGTCTCTCACTTGGACTTAAAGAAAATCCAGTTAGAAAATACCTGACAATACTGCCAAAATTTAACTAAGTAACAAGTATATAACATCACTAATGTAGACAATTCCTATGATAAAAAAAAAGGTAAATAATCCAGCTAGTATATTTAGGCTGATATTATCAGTGGCTTAATTGGAAAATGTATATAATTTTTAACTTTATAAACATGTATCCACTTTTCTCTAAAAATGCTATTGTTATTCATAACTATACCAAAAAGCATCATAGGTCACAAATGACATCCATTACTCAACTTATATCTTCTTTCTTAGCTTTTAACAAAATTTATCATAAGTATTTAAAGTTATCCCCTAACTTTCCAACGAACTATTAAGTAGACCGAGAAAAGCCTATTAAAATAATTTCAAGAGTTTACTGGCATTAAATTTCACAGATTCAAATCTCCTACAAGATTTGAGTCATGTCCCCCTTTTCAGCCTAGCAGCGTGCCTGGCACAAAGTTTGTGACCCCATGACCAAGTGACCTTATTCTAATATATTTCACCTTTTACTTGGTTTTCCTGTAAAGTTAACATCTTCTGACCAATGCACAACTCTCAGCCCTATGACAGCAGGTATCTTGTCTTGTTCCCTGTGTCCCTAGCACTTGGAAAAGTCCCTGGCACACAGGCACTCAATAAATATTAAACTGTTCTGGTTAACATGATCACAGTGAAATTCCAGAGGGAATGCTTACATTGCTTAACTACATTTAAATAACAGTGAAATCAGCAAACTGTAGCAAGATAGATTTAACTAAATCATTTCATTACACCAACATTTCCAGTAATACATTCTATGTCTCAGAAAACTAGTTTCGAAGAGTCGAAGTTAAACAGGTATCTTTACCTCTAGATCTCCATAAAACTATACTAATCCTAAACTAATCCCTTTTGTGAATCTTCAAGTATGTAGCATCTCCCAAATTGATGTGACTACAATTTTTTTTAACCAAGCATCTGGATAAATTGATTCTGAAGAATATACCCTAAAAAATGCTGCATTATATATTAGGATACACAGTATTAACACTAAAGAACATTAAATTAGGTTTTTGTGAAAAACCTGAGATGTCCTAATTTCCTAACAGCACACTGATTTGTACAATGTAATATTCTACCTAAAATTATGACTTTAAAAAAATTGAACAATGTGGTCTTTTTTAGGACTAGAAATTCTTAAGGATATATGCAAGAAAAGATTAAACTTCAAAGTCCACACGCAAAATATCTTTTACTTTGAATTATACAAAACCAAACTCCAAACAAGTAACTGTTTATAAGACCTACTGTTACGTTTTTAGGTGGCATGATTACATAATAGCTTTCTTTAAATCTGCATTACACTCTTATTTGTCAATATAATATCATCTGTTTAATCCTTCTATAATTAACAAGCTGTAAGAACAAACAATTACAACCACATTAATACTTGACAGAGTTTGGATGTCCGATAACACCTGGACACTGAGCAGCATCCAATTAAAATATGAGTATAGCTTTCATCCAAAGAAAATATTTTATTCCAAGTTCCCAAAACAAACTTCAAGAGTTATGTTGGGTTTGAACTGAAGAAACAGGCCAAGTTTTTCTTGGGTGGGAGCTGAAATCAATGTATACATTCTAATCAAACATCTGTCCTGTGTCGCACTTTCCAAGTTGTTAAGAGTCTACCAGGCCAACCCCTTTGCTGCTTTCACTGCTTTTGCTTTGCTTTTCCCCTTTTTTTTCTCTCTCTTTGCCTTCAGCCTTTTTCTTTGCCTCTGGTTCATCCATACTGGGTACTGTCCATGCTGGTCTAGAAGACTCTTTTTATTTCTCTTAATGTCAGTCTCCATTTTCATGTCATCTGAATAAAAAGATGGAAAAACTATTAACATTCACATATGGAAAAACAACCCCTGTGAAAGCCTATTAATGTATTGTAAACATCAGAACTGAGGGTAATCTGAAACCACAAGAGAAAAAAAATTCCCCATTTGTGGAATGCTCTTTGACTAACACCCTGAAAACTACTTACAGCAAATTTGATGGAATCAGACACATGCTGCCACATACTCCTGCAACCATGGAAGACTTAAGAGGTGTTTGTGAGAAACTAAGGACACTGAGAAACTTTCTAAAGAATGCTGTCATGATTGTCCTTCTTTGGAATAGTAAAACCAAATAGGAAACATTTAGGATGTATGGCTTTGAGTTAGTACATTAGTAGATAAAAGGTTCTGAGCACACGTGAGTTATAAGAATATATCTCATATTAAGTGATACCTGAGTTAAATAAAATATAATAGTTGAGCCAATAAATGCATCCATACTTCTAATGAACTGATTAGGAATGATTGGCCATTTCTAATTAACTTGAACTAAATTCTAATGAATTTAGAACTGAGAATAGAACTTGATGTAAGAAGAAAGACCTGGACACATCCTGGGGCTGCCAGACTTTTTCTATCCAGATAACACCCAGAGATCCAGATCTATCAATGGGAGACTTGGCAGGAAGTTCAGCACAACCATGACGTGGTATATCCATCACCAACCTTTTTATCTATTATGAGGGATGTCCCTCCCTAGGACCTTACCATGGTATACAAGGTATATTATCTCTAGTACCTGACATTATATTAGACATTCATCACTGTTTCCACAGGGCCTAGAATAGTGCCTGGTATATAACAGCCTCTCAATAACTAGTTGCTGAATGCTTGCTGTAGGTGCTGTTCTAGGTTCTGGGGATACAGTGGTACAAAGAAGCTCCTTCCCCTCATGGAATTACAATGTTGTAATTGTAACCAAGTACTAGCCAGGCCCGACCCTGCTTAGCTTCCGAGATGAGGCAAGACCGGGCACGTTCAGGGTGGTATGGCCATAGCTGAGTTTATAATATCCTGTTGAAGAGAAAATAACAAAGCAAACAAATAAAAGGATACGCATACGCCAGTAATCCCACCTACTCAGGAGGCTGAGATGAGAGGATTGATGGGGGCCAGGAGTTCCAGGTTGTGGTGCACCACGATCATACCTGTGAATAGTTATTATACTCTAACCTGGGCAACAAAGCAAAAACCCCATCTTTTTTTAAAGAAAAAAAAGAAAATTTCAGCTTGTGGTAAGTGGTTTTTTAAAGAGGTACTAGAGGGCCGGGCGTGGTGGCTTACGCCTGTAATCCTAGCTCTCTGGGAGGCCGAGGCGGGCGGATTACTCGAGGTCAGGAGTTCGAAAGCAGCCTGAGCAAGAGCGAGACCCCGTCTCTACTATAAATAGAAAGAAATTAATTGGCCAATTAATATATATATAAAAAAAAATTAGCCGGGCATGGTGGCGCATGCCTGTAGTCCCAGCCACTCAGGCGGCTGAGGCAGAAGGATTGCTTGAGCCCAGGAGATTGAGGTTGCTGTGAGCCAGGCTGACGCCACGGCACTCACTCTAGCCTAGGCAACAAAGCGAGACTCTGTCTCAAAAAAAGAAGGAGGGAGGGAGGGAGGGAGGGAGGGAAAGGAGGGAGGGAAGGAAAGAGGTACTAGAAACAGACCTCGTAAGCTCTGGTAGGCTCATGGAAAGACAATGAGGTTTTAAGCACAGAAGTGATATACTCTGATTCACATTTTTAAAAGATCATACCGATTGAAATATGGAACTCAGAATGGAACAAGAGCTGAAGAGAGAAGTAAAAAGGCTACTATTATGGAACAGGCAAGAGATGGCAGGTTTTTAGGGAGCAGGTGTGGGTGGGTAAATGACAGTCAAAAAAGTAAAAAGATCACAAAAGAAAACTGATAGAATTATTATTGTTTTTTAACGAAGCATGTGAACTCACCTTTCTCATCTTCCACCACACACTGCATTTTCTCTTGGCAATGTTTGGGTACCACCACAGTTGCTATCTCTTGAACATCTTTCATTAAAACATCACTGTCTACTTTAAGAATACTTTTAAGTCTGCTGAGCTCCTTTGGAGCATTCTTTTTTCTCTTTTCAGCACGCATCTTCCTTTTCCACTTACTCCGTAAGCTTTTAGCCATGTTTTACCTGGAAGTTAACAAAAATACACATTCAAAAGTAAATATTTAGTGTATGTATGTGTGTATATGTGTGTATGTGTATATATATAAAAAATAAGGCAAATCCTGTATCTCATCTTACTGTCCACTACCCACGGCCGCAAGCTCCACCTACACGTGAAAAAGTCCGAACTACGTCCAATTCAGTACCTTCACATTTGCAGTTCCTATGCCCGGGAACTGCTCTTCCCAAGGTTGCTACTTCATTCAGTATCTCAGAAAGGACTTATCTGACCTCCGTAAGGTCCCTACTTAATACGTGTTACAACCTGAAACTATTTTGTTTGTTTTCTGTCACACGCCCCTCCTCCCGTGGACTACAGACTCTACGAAGGCAGAGGTTAAGATCTTGTTCATCAATGGATTCCCCAGGTGCACAGAGCTTTGCATATAGTAAGTTATATAAACACTTGTCGAACGGATGACTAGTTGAGTAACATTTCTTGAACGCTAACAAACACAAACTCATTCTGCTCCTTTGTCTACAATAACCCAATCCTTGTGAGGGGCTAGAACGGTCGAGGTGAACAACCTTGAGGGCCGGAGTTAACCTCAGCGGGACGGAACCACAGGCGAGGGCTCCACTTCGCTCAGGGCGCCAGAGTTCCGACACCAAGACCACCAGGGACCCTCGTCCCCGACCGACGCCTGCACCGCCGCACCGGAGCGCAAGCTTGGGCAAGCCACAATCAAGACCTGAGACGAAATTTCCTATGGGCGACAAGCCACACGACCCAATGGACCCACGAGGCCCGCACTTACTCACCTAAGAAACTCACAAACGCACACTCCGGTGGACCACGCCGACCGGAAGTCGCCAACTTCCTCCTTCCGGGCAGGGCGGTCCCAGGGCGGGCGCACTGCACGCTGGGAGCCAAGACGTCCCGGAAAGCCTAGAGAGGCGGGGTCTTTGGTAACCCGGCGGTTACTCGTCTCTTTCATTTGGTGTGAGCGCGGACCTTTAAACTTGGACGGTGCCCGTCAGTTATAGAAGTCGGATTGAAGAATACAGAAGAGAGTTGGCTCCAGGTAGGCCCGCTTCCTGGACACAGGCAGGGTAGTCCTGAGACTTTAACACAGGGAGTGACCCGGCCGGAGGACCCAACCTGTTAGGTGGGGAGCTCGGAGCTGACGTTAGATCTGGCCTCACCATTCACTTGATACTCTTGGATTTCCTTAGGTCGACTCATCCTAGATCACGTGTTCTTCCAGAGGCCGTATTGAGATCATCTTTGTTTGCCGCTTGTACATTTTCCGCGTGATGGTCTTACGGAGGTACACATACGTCAAAACTTATCAAATTGTACAATTATATGTGCAACTTATTGCATGTCAATCATATCTCAAGGTTGTTACCAAAAACAGAAGACAAGCCTTTCCCACCATAAAAAAGTTTAAAAGATAAAATGATCACACTATGTCATTTCTAGTCTGATCACTTACATACCAGACAATGCTATGCCTGGAATGATTATCTTAAGTCATGAACAACACTTATTTTACATATGCTTCTGATAGCATAGGCTTTGGAACCAGAGAAGTCTATGTTGCATTTGGTTCCAACACTTGTGAATGATATAGGTGAGTAATTAATGTCTTAGAGTCTGGATGTCCTTGTCCCTAAAGTGAAGATAATACAACCTAACTGATCCTATGCAGGTGTTAAAAGCTCAACAAGTGGTAGCCCTTTTTTTACATTATGCTTTCAAACATATAGCTACACAATGCTATTTGTAAGCAGTGTTTTCTACAGATCTACACTATATACCAAAAAACAGGATAGGAATTGTCTTTAATGATGGCCTGGTAAATTCCTGCTGGTTGTTAGTAAAGGAGAGTTCTTTCTGAGACAATTTGTGGGTACCTGTTTTCTTTAAATTTATGTCCGTTAAGAAACCATGCATAGTATGGAAATTATTGAATTCAGATGATAACAAAGGTTTTTTTGTTTGTTTTTAACAGAGGCTGAAAACAACTTATAACGTGGTATGGAAAAAGGAAGCATGCCTGGGAAACCTGATTTCTTTAAATGGAAGATTAAGTTCTTATAGAACAAATGAATTTCTATTTTACAAATTAACCATATATTAGACTTAGCTTTTCATTAGAATTTAGCCACCTTTCCCAAAAATATATGTGTACATTGTATTTTAGATTGGAGAGAGCTCAAATTCAGATAGTTCAAATTTACTGCATCTTGTTTAACATACCAGACCAAGACTTTTGAATGGACATTTGGCACTAGAAAAGAGAATAACTTACCCATTATGAAAATGTCAAGTTGTTAAAATACATGCTACAATCCAGCATTACAAATGCTTTAAAAAGCTGAATCAGAAGCACACAGAGAAAAGGCGTTGTGAAGACACAGCAAGCAGGAAGGAAGCCAAACACAAGCCAAGGAGAGAGCCCTCAGGAGAAACCAAACCTGCTGACACCATCATCACAGACTTTCAGCCTCCAGAACTACTTCAATTGTGAGGAAATGTCATTCAGATTTGGCCAACATCTCATCAAGCCCTCTGTGGTATTTCTTAAAACAGAACTGTCCTTTGCTCTTGTGAATAGGAAACCTGTGGTACCAGGACATGTCCTTGTGTGCCCGCTGCGGTCAGTGGAGCGTTTCTGTGACCTGCGTCCTGATGAAGTAGCTGATTTGTTTCTGGCAACCCAGAGAGTTGGGACAGTGGTGGAGAAACATTTCCAGGGGACCTCTCTCACCTTTTCCATGCAGGATGGCCCCGAAGCTGGACAGACTGTGAAGCACGTTCATGTCCATGTTCTTCCCAGAAAGGCCGGAGACTTTCAGAGGAATGACAGCATCTATGATGAGCTCCAGAAACATGACAAAGAGGAGGGCTCCCAGGCCTCTTGGAGATCAGAGGAGGAAATGGCGGCAGAAGCTGCAGTTCTGCGGGTCTACTTTCAGTGACACAGGTGTGAAAGTAACTCGAACAAATCCCAAGGTATAAGGAAGTGGTCCTCATTCTCTAGGATTCTGCAGCATTGGAAATGAAGCTAAGCAAAGTTCATTACATCTTACAATTCTGCAACCTATTGCAAAGCATTTTATTACACTTGTGGAAACCATTGGGGTTGTGTTTCAGTCATAATGACTGACAGGCTAACTTCAAAACAATAGCATCAACAGCCCTTCCACACTTCCTTGGCTATATACTTAGAATAGACCCTTTTTTAAATTGTCCCTTGGCCTGGATGGAAATAAAATGTAGTTAAAATAATAATAAAAAAAAGCTGAATCATGGACTGCATTATTGAAAAAGCCTTTTTTTACTTATGTTCCTCACTAGTTTGTATAAAAGCAGTTATAACAGAATAATTAAATGGCCTTAGTATATTTAAAAATCCTTATTCATTCCCTCATTCATACATTTGAATATGCATTCTGTTATAGGTACTATGATGAATCTACAAGGGAAACCAAAGTCCTGTGTTCAGGAAACTTTAACCCCTGATGGAGAAACGTTGCTGTGGCTCCTCAGAGCTGGAAGGAGCCTATGGAACTAGAGGCACAGTGGGTAGCACTGAGTACCTGACAGGAAACAGACTGATTCCCCACCTAAAGGGTGTGCTACCAGTGGTCCCCAACCTTTTTAGTACTAGGGACTGGTTTCATGGAAGACAATTTTTCCATGGACTGGGTAGGAGGGATGGTGAGTGATAGTGAGCAGCTGTAAATACAGATGAAGTCTCACTTGTCGGCCACTCAATCCTACTGTGCAGCCTGGGTCATAACAGGACATGAACCAGTACCAGTCCATGGGCCGGGAGTTGGGGACCACAGTGGCTCAATATAGACACCAGTCCGTGGGGTCCCTGCAGTCAAGCCTTTCCCATGGAATCCCTGATCTGCATAATCATTTAGTAAGAAACAAGAAGACTTCTGGGATTCAGATAGTGACCCTGTGTGCCCATTCCCTAGGACTTCAATTCAAAGCTCTATAAAAAATGAAAGCACAAAGCAAAAAGTTCCCAGCTGCTCCACAAAAGGCCTACAGCTGGCTATTGACACCACTAATCGCAAGAACTCCATTAAGAGGATCAAAGCCAGGTCTGAGGCCTGCAGAGAAAAATGAAGGCAAGTACACAGGGCCCACTGCACCTCTTTTCCCAAATTACATTCAGTAAATACAGAAGTTCTCAGATACTGCTCTTTACTTGTTTCCTTGTTTTCCTCCTACCTCTTTGGCTGTTCTTCCTTTGTCCCTTGCACATGGAGTTGCCTGTTGTGTCCAAGTCCTGCTAATTCCACTTTCTTAATATTTCTGGAGTCTGTATTTTTACCTTTACCTGATGTAAAAAAAAATTGAAGTTGTATCATCTAACGATGCTTTAAAATGTTGTAGGGATATTCCCTACCTAGGTGAACTTATACCTGTGCACAGTGGGACATATATAGGGACTTACATAGCACCACTGATTATGATCATAAAAAAGGAAGAACCATAAATAAAATTCATTGACAAAATTATTAATAATTATGATCCATTTATAAAAGATAATATTCTATACCTGAGGTTTTCAAACTTCTTAGTCTTGGGATCCTTTTATACTCTTAATTATGGTATCAGAAATTAAAATAGTTTTTTGGAAAATTTAATTAAGTCATATACAAAGGATAAATTCATTGCATGTTAAAATTTTTATGGAAAGTTTTCTTAACCCCCAAAAAAATTTAGTGAAAAAAAGGCATCACTGTACATTTTTTAAATGTCAAATCTGCTTTTGCTTATTTAGTGTCTTCAGTCCATTCTGTCCTTTTGATTGAAAATACTATTGGCCAGTATTACTGTAAATACTGTAAATACTATTACAGGCTCACACCTGTAATCCTAGCACCCTGGGAGGCCAAGGCAGGAGAATAGCTTGAGCTCAGGAGTTCTGGAGCAGCCTGAGCAAGAGTCAGACCTTGTCTGTGCTAAAAATAGAAAAATTACCTGGTGGTAGTGCATGCCTGTAGCCCCAGCTACTCAGGAGGCTGAGGCAGAAGGACACTTGAACCCAGGAGTTTGAGGTTGCTGTGAGCTAGGCTGATGCCATGGCACTTGCCTGGGCAACAGAGTGAGACTCTTGTCTCAAAAAAGAAAAGAAAATAATACTGTTAATACCAGGAGCTAACATTAAGCCTTTAATTTATTTGATATATCTATCTCATTTAATCCTTTAATAGCCCAATAAGCTAGGCATTATTATTATTCCCACCATAAAGATGAGGCAAAAGACCTAAGTAAAAAAGGATAAGTAATGTGTCAAATGTCACATAGTGGGTTGCACAGCAAGAAATCTGATCGAGATGCTCTTACTATACTATGTTAAAACTTGATCACACTGCATGATACACTTAGGTATCCAACAATAAATTGATGATGATGGAGTCAAATTTATATCTAAAAACCACTTGAGGTTAAATCAATACTACTAACTTATTTCAACATAACTGGGAAGTGATACATAGTGAGTGTTTTAGGCTAAATTGTATCCCCCTCAAATTTTATATGATGAAATCCTAACCCGCAGTACATCAGAATGTGACTGTATTTGGAGACAGTACATCAGAATGTGACTGTATTTGGAGGTCTTTAAAGAGGTACTTAAGGGAAAATGAGGTCATTAGGATGGGCCTTAATCTAGTATGACTGGTGTCCTTAAAAGAGTAAATTTGGACACAGACAAGTACAGAAGGGAGACCATGTGAAGGCATGGGGAGAAGATAGCCATCTACAAACCAAAGAGAGAAGCCTCAGAAGAAACCAACCCTGCCAACACCTTGATCTCGGACCTTTAGCCTCCAGTACTATGTGAAAATAAATTTCTGTTGTTTACACCAGGTAGTCTGTGGTACTTTGTTACAGCAGCCCTACCAAACTATACAGTGGGGAATTTGACAAAGTTTCATTGGTTACTGATACACTGATCTAACATGATGTACAGACCAATACAAATGAAACCACAAGACACAATTTTCCAAATATTTTTATTTTGAGATGTATACACTTAATGGCAGATGAACTATTATATTTGGGGTCTTCTAACTACATTAGCATGCTATAATTTAAAATATATACTTTAAAATGTAAATAATTAACTATCCTTTAAAATATAAATAATTAACATCAAATTTTATATCATTAATCTGATTTATTTTCTTCTTTTTCGAAACAGTCTTGCTCTGTTGCCCCGGCTAGAGTGTATTGGTATTATCATAGCTCACAGCAACCTCAAACTCCTGGGCTCAAGCAATCCTCCTACCTCAACCACCCCAGTAGCTGGCACTATAGGTATGAACCACCATGCCCAACTAATTTTTTCTATTTTTTGTAGAAGTGGGGTCTCATTGTTGCTCAGGCTGGTCTCAAACTCCTGAACTCAATTGATCCTCTGCCTTGACCTCCCAGAGTGCTAGGATTACAGGTGTGAGCCACAACGCCTGGCAATATCTGACTTTCAATCAGACCTTTAATTTTAACACATCATTTTATAATGAAATGTCATTAACATTTTAATACTAAAGAATTCTTTGTGGAATTTATCTTTTATATTTTTTCCTTTCTAAATGAGATTAAAATCTAGCAAAAGGAAATTTATACTTTATAATGGCAAAGACACTACTACTTTAGAATCAAAATAAAATCTAATATTATTTAATAATTCAGGGAAAATTTAGATAAAATCACTAGACAAAGGTAAATTGATACTCTTAATCTAACCTACTCATAAAATTATTTTTGAATTGCAAATTAACAGCTATGTATGGCCAATTCAGGATTGAAAAAAACTTTTAAATGGAATTTTGATATCTCTTGAGATTCTAAATCAAGGATTTAGAGATGAGATATCATAAAAAATAGTAAGATTTTAAAGCTCAGACATATAAAGAACACAAATAATGATCATGGAAGTATTCAATATTTAATTATATTTCAAACTTTATTATTTAATGAAACAGTTTATACATATTGCTTCCAATTACTTTTTATTAACTGCTTCCAGAAACCTTAACAGGTGCAAGAATAGATTGATGATATCCAAGTAGAGGCTGATGGCAGCTAATACATACTCTTCAGGTGACAGTTTATGCATCAGTGAGTGTGTGTCATGGATGATGAATCCACAAAAAAGAAGTGCTCCTACAGCAGCCAAGACCAACTCCATTGTCTCATTATTAAAATAAAACTGTAGGCAGAAAATAAAAATTTGTTGATATTTAAGAACAGTGTTAAGCATACTTAAGTTACTTTCTCTGATGACCCTCTACAATATACATATTTAATAATGGTATAAAACTTTGGATACCAATGTTAAAAGCAGGAAAAAGCCAGTCAAGTCCAGGCTTGCTTCTGTTGGATGGAAGGATGAATGGATGAATGTGTAGATATCTTCCTTTCAATTACACTGCCTACTTGACTCTAATAGTAGCATTCCAAATATTAATTATTTAAAAATATATCTTTTTTCAGAATTAAATGTGCCATTGCAGGTTGGCAGTTAAAAGTGAAGGCCTCTTTCTATGTAATTTAATTCAATTGTTCATCTTTCTTTGCATTAATAATAACGATCAACACAAGACCTTGATTTTTTTTTTTTTTTTTTTTTTGAGACAGAGTCTCTCTTTGTTGCCTAGGCTAGAGTGAGTGCCATGGCGTCAGCCTAGCTCACAGCAACCTCAAACTCCTGGGCTCAAGCGATCCTTCTGTCTCAGCCTCCCAAGTAGCTGGGACTACAGGCATGAGCCACCATGCCCGGCTAATTTTTTCTATATATATTAGTTGGCCAATTAATTTCTTTGTATTTATAGTAGAGACGGGGTCTCGCTCTTGCTCAGGCTGGTTTCGAACTCCTGACCTCGAGCAATCCACCCGCCTCAGCCTCCCAGAGAGCTAGGATTACAGGCTTGAGCCACCGCACCCGGCCAAGACCTTGATTTTTTAAAGAGATTTTTCTATAATTGTTCTATATATAAATGTTCTAGATAGTTATAACTAAATGTCCAATCATAAGTGTATCTCTTATAGCTTCTTGAGGTTATTTATATGGATACAGCCAGAATTTTATTTCAATTTAACCATTATAATACAACTCACCTTCAAGAATCCTGACAAGCACAAAATCCACAAACCAGCAAACAGCCTATAAAAATAAAATTTTAATAATTTAGAATATTGTTCCTTATGAAAAGACATTGTAAACCCATTCAACATTTTCTGAAGAAACAAATGCATCCAGATTTTTGCCAAAAAATAATTAAAATGTAAGAACTCATAAATATACAATGATATAATACCCATTTTGAATTATTTTAAATTTTATTTTAATTTAAATTCTATTTAAATTATTTTAAATCTTAAATTATTGAATTATTTTAAAGAAACTGAAAGACAACTATCTATTCAACATTTGTTTTTATAGTTACAAACCTAATTAAGAATATCACTTTTAAAGTTTTCAATTGGAACACAAAGAAAATATTGACATAAACATAAATATCATTAGATTTTAATTTAGAGGTCTACAAAAACTTCTTGAAAATATATACATGAACAAATGAAAAATGATTGCATTTTTAAACCAAATAATAATAGCAAGTTATTATGCAAACATGCATATTAAAGTTCACAATGTACTTTCTATCTTATTCTTATTTATTATAGAACTCTATTTATGGACACAAATTTGACAGTGCTGTAATTTCATGAATTCCAATTGTTATATATATAAAAAGTATAGTTATATGACAAAGGACGTCTAAGAAGTCAGTGTTTCATTATCAAATATGGGACATATCTGTTGCTTCAGGCCACAAGGAATTACAGAGGCCAAATTTATCCTCACTCCTTAAATAAAACCAGACAGAATAGTGAAACAACGGCTTTCATGCACTGCACAGCAAGCAGCACAAGAGTGTGATTTCTGAGATAAGGAAAACAAAGAAGGTGAGCTTTATAATTGCTCCAGCTAGGGAGTTTCCAGGCCATGGAGTCGGGACAGGAACCCATACAGAGCCTTGTAGTCTTGAGTTGAGACAAGAATTCAGAGCTCAGGGAGGCCAACGTGGCTAGAATTTGCAGGGCAGAGTACCAGGGAAGGGATAGCTATACAGAGAGAGCATGCATACACACATTCTGGTAACATGCACAGCATTCCCCTGGAGTCTTTAGCTGAGTTCTGCTTAACGCATACATGTGAGGAAGTGACCAAGGCTGGAGAAAGAATTGCCACAGAAAAGCAGGCAAAAAATAATCCTTAGAGCTTACACAGGGCTGGAAACAGTTCGCATTCACACCAGCCGAGGAGACAGACCTCCTAAGACATGCGCTGAGTAGTCCTCAAAAGGGTAACAAATAGAGTTATATGAACCCTAAGCTGGAAACTGTTCTGGACCCGCCTAATGGAGCCTCAGAAGGTTCAGTTTCCAACTTAACTGAATCCTAGAAGAACAATGTCCAAAACATTTAAAGTTAAGACAAAAAAATTCAGCACCCAATAATGTAAAATTTATAATGACCAGCATCTAATCAAAAACATAAAAGCATTCAAAAAATGAAGGAGATATGACTCATAACAAGGAGAAAAACCAACAGATAGAAACAAATCCAGAAAAGACACGATAGGATTCATAGATAATGACATTAAAAAATACACTCCCCCAATGTTCAAGGAGATAGATGACAAAACAATCACGAGGCAAGAAAGATACTATATACACACACACACAAATGCACACATATGCACATGGCACACACACTTAAAAGACAATTTAATTCTATAAATGAGAACCACAATATATGAAATATCAAAAATAACCAAACACAAAAGGAAATAAAATACCACAAGAATTAACAGAAATAGCAGACAAAGACTTCAGAAA